TTTCCTGGACAGTTCCAGAACTCACTGCAGGGATCATAAATCCTGTCCATACTGGGGACCACCAGGGGTCTGGGTTTCTCTCCTGGAACTGTGATCTTCACCAGCAGAACCAGATACAAGAAAGATGGACGGCCAGATGGGTGGGTTTGTTATTTATTAACCTTTTATTTAAATAACGATGAGCACAGAACCTGAAGAGAACCGAACATTTACAACGTGTTTTATTTTTATCCGAGCCTCAAGTCGCTGCAGCGCCATGGTTAGTCTGGAAAAACATCTCTGCACGTTTTTTACAGATCAACATGCTTCAGAGCGACTGCGGGAGTGTTTGACCACACAGGAACTCATCCAGTGGTTTACAGCAGCTGTTGGGGGGGGTCGAGGGGTCACAGCCCTCTGCTGGAGGACACCAGGTCAAGAACACGAGTATCTGTTCCATGAAAACTGCTGGGAATCAAACGCTCGGCGCAGAACATGGACTGATGTGGACCGACAGACAGACGATGAGGACAAGTGTCTCTCAGTCCAGCGATGGAGCTGCAGGCGTTTGACACTTCAGCCCGTCTGACGATGTCTCCAGGCCTGCGTGGAGAAACGATTCAGATGATGCAGAAGAAGACGTGAGGAGACAGGAGGACGTGTCTGCAGTGTGTTGGACATGAAGCACATTGAGGACACGTTGAAGAGCTGACAAAAAGAATGTGTCGCTTGGATCCAAACACTTCCTACACATTTTAACAGCTTGTCTGTTCCCGAGGTTTTGGTTCACACCAATTACAACGAAGGGCATATGTCGTCTTTGGCTTTAGCTTGGAGATGATTATTTTGAGTCCCTGGACTGTGTCGGTTAGAGTTTATGCAAAAAATACCATTACAAGGTTTTGTTTGCAAAATCATTAAAAAATAAAACTTTAAAACTTGCACCAAGGCACAGATACGATGGAAGTCCATGGGAGTTTAGAGTGTGTGACCTTTGACCCCTGAAAACAAGAGTCCTCCAGCAGAGACACTCCTCTGAAAGGAGTGGAGATGAAAAAAGTTTGTTTGTAACATTGTTCATAATTTAAAGCACGTTTTGATGCTTTTTTCCCCAAACTGAGACTGAAACAACGAAAACGTCCAGAAAGGAACGAGTTCAGGGAAAAATCTGTTTGTGTCGATGCAGCTTCAGGTTAGACTGAATTCATGTAGTGAACATTATTTGACATGAATCCTTCTATAGAACACAAATAATTTCTACCATGAAAGCACGAGCCTTGACATCCTGGAGGAAAGTAGTTTCTGGTTTGAGTCAGTCCTCTGGTGGATCGTTGGCTCTCTCTGGAGATCTCATGGACTTTAGAATAACTTCAGCTGAATGAAGCACTTTTCTTCCACTAATTGAATGAAGCCGTGAAGGCAGCAGATTGTAGCGCTTGACAGCTCATTGTTGGAGGGAAAAGTACAGCCGTGGTCACTGGGGCTTCGTCGTTAGAGGTCCGTTTGATTAAAACGCCTCCGCGTCCAACAGAACATTCAGCTGCAGGCCGGGTCTCCATTAGAACCAGGGAAATAAAGAAAAGCTTCGTGTGGGTCCACAGAAAGTCTGACAGCCCGGCTGAAGCTGGGCAGCAAACACCCATCCATCCATCCATCCATTTTCTTTACCCGTTTATTCCATTTTGGGTCACGGGGGTCGCTGGTGCCCATGTCCAGCAATCACTGTGCGAGGGGCGGGGTACACCCTGGACGGGTCGCAAGTCCATCACAGGGCCACATAGAGACAAACGAGACAAACAAACATTCACTCTCTCACTCACACCTAGGGACAATTTAGAGTTACCAATCAGTCTAACATGCATGTTTTTGGACTGTGGGAGGAAACCGGAGTACCCGGAGAAAACCCACGCATGCACGGAGAGAACATGCAAACTCCGGCAGCAAACACCTCGACGTTAAATTAAAAAACAATCCATCGTCAGTCAGAAAACACCTCAGCAGGTCTGCTGCTGGATCCGCATGATGGACCCGTCTGCTGCCGGGCCCAGCTGGGAGGTCTGGGCTTCTGAGCGTGTGCAGTGATGTTCAGAACCAGGCAGGTTCAGGTGGGTTTAACAGGTTTATTTCAGTGAGCGGGACAGACACGGGAGCTTAAAGGAAAAGTCCTTGCCACAAACTAACACAGGAAAGAAATCAGCTTCAGCTTTGAACAAACAAACAAACAAACAAACAAACAAACAAAACCTCTATCAGAAAATTATCACCCTGGTTAGAGACAGGTTTAGGCTTTTTATTTTCCAAAGGTGGGATCAAGTCATTGGTTTGTGTCAAGTCTTGAAACTCAACATCTGAACCAGATTTTATTGAAACTCTCGGGAAATACGTCTTTGGATGTACAGATCAGGTCAGAGTTTAAGATCTTTGTTCTGATAAAGGTCTGAGTTTAAGACCTTTGTTCTGATGAAGGTCTGAGTTTAAGATCTTTGTTCTGATGAAGGTCTGTGTTTAAGACCTTTGTTCTTAACAAGGTCAGTTTAAGATCTTTGTTCTGATGAAGGTCAGAGTTTATGACCTTTGTTCTTAACAAGGTCAGAGTTTAAGACCTTTGTTCTGACTAAGGTCAGAGTTTAAGACCTTTGTTCTTAACAAGGTCAGAGTTTAAGACCTTTGTTCTGACTAAGGTCAGAGTTTAAAATCTTTGTTCTGACTAAGGTCAGAGTTTAAAATCTTTGTTCTGACTAAGGTCAGAGTTTAAGATCTCTGTTCTGACTGAGGTCAGAGTTTAAGATCTTTGTTCTGATGAAGGTCATTGTTTAAGATCTTTGTTCTTAACAAGGTCGGAGTTTAAGATCTGTGTTCTGATGAAGGTCAGAGTTTAAGATCTTTGTTCTGATGAAGGTCTGCGTTTAAGATCTTTGTTCTGACAAAGGTCAGAGTTTAAGATCTTTGTTCTGACAAGGTCATTTAAGATCTTTGTTCTGACGAAGGTCAGAGTTTAACCTTCCTACTATGTTAGGGTCCGTAGTGACCCATTTTAAATTTTAAATCATGATACTGTCTTTTAAATATTTTTTTTTGCATCAAGGCTTTTTGACTTTGTCTGGAACCTTTATTTAAATAAAAAAAATATATTTTTTTTTTCACTAAATTTATTTTTTATTTTTTATAGAACAACACGCACTTGCCGCGCTGGGGTCATT